GAAGGTGCCCTGGGCCTCGGTAGACACGTCAGAGGCTAAGAAAATACATCCTGGTTCAATTGGGCTAGTCCTATTGTCCAAATATGGTGCCACGTGGTGCTTCTATTTATTAGTCGTAACATTTTCTATATTTATATGAGTAATACCTTTTTGGCGAGCTCTGTAGTATTATCAATGTGTGTGTGTGTATGTGTGTGTTCTTGGTAATTTGGGTTTTGCCAGAATATTCCCTTTACTTCCTTTCTTCTTAACATTTCTCATTTGACTGTCCAACAAAACGTATCCAAGTCAAAGTTTGCTTCTTAGTTCATTCCAAGTGTAAATCTCTCTCTCTCACACTCTCTCTTCATCAAATAGTACCCACCTAATAATTTCTTCAACAATGCCCATTACAGCGTACTGAATTCCTCGAATTTTATTGGACAAGGCTGAAACAATCAAATCGTTGTAGGAAGATGTGATACATAATTTACCCGTATTTTTAGTTTAATTTATCTTTTTAGTCATGCACTTAAGTTTCAGATTGATTTCTTAAAAGCCAAAATCAAAGAATTTGAATCTGAATGTGCTAACAATGGTATGGATTGGGATCACTTACAGTGTAAGTTTCTACTTAATGATAATACCTTTAGTACTCTTGCTTGGTTCAATCTAAGCAAGAGAAGCATATCTATCTTATTAAGTGCGTGTTCGGTCTAGCTTAAAATCTAATTAAAATTGAAAATATGGCCGTTATTGGGTCCGACTCGTCTAATAAAAATCAACAATAAAGGCTAGTGTTTTAATTTTAATCCGATTTTAATCTCTACCGAACATGCCCTAAACATATTCCCCGCATTTCATGAAAATGTTGATGCTCGTTTAATTCAAATGGTGCTCGATGTCAATGCTTGATGTCAGGTTGACACATTCTTTGCTGTTCGATCTCCTATTGGAGTGTTTCTTTCCATTTGCAATGTTCGTATTGATGTTGGTAATTGTTAAAGCTTATTATTTTTGTTAGAAATTAAAGACAACACGTGGAAACCTAAGCTGGGAAAACCACATGTAGAGGTAAAGAATTCACTGTATCAAAGAATTGCAATATGTTAGATACCTGCACCAAACTAATAAGTTGGACAATTAGTCAATCTCAATATGTGTTGTACATCACATAATTATAATAAAAGAATCCCTAAGACACAAGGAAAGTATAATACAATTAAGAGTCTAACACAATGTGAAATCCTATTACAATAGGTAAAATCAATAATGGATATGAGTTCAAAAACTGTCAAATACGTCTTTGACTTCTTCAAGACTTTTTCAAGGCATACTACTAACTCCACTAGAACTTCCAATAGAACTCAAGTTACAGCCAAACCCTAACAATTTTAATACGTCTTTATTATCTACTATTTTATTTCTCATTTTCTAGAGATGGTTCCCTGGATTCTTCTAAGGTTTTTTATGAAGGAAATTTATATTATATTATCAGCCTTTACAAATTTCAGTATTCATTTTAAAGCATTTCCAGCTTTAAGTCGCATTGATTTCATTCTCCCTTTCTTGATCAATTTATCGTCTGAAATGAAGTCAAAATTATCAATTGAAGCTAATATGACCACAATGCATATTTAGTTGTAGATGATTCTTACTTACTAGTGACCTCTATTTTCGTACCTCTACGCGGCCAACAGATTTCAAGGTACGAAAATATCTTTGAGGTGGAGTGTGATACTAGTGGTGTGAGTGTTAGGACTATTCTTTCCCAAGAAAAGAAACCCTTGGCTTTCTTTTCAGAAAAGTTGAGTGATGCTAGGCAAAAAGTGGAGTACTTATAGCAGTGGGAACACTATCTTATACATAATGAGTTTGTGTTGTTCATTGATCAACAAGTCCTAAAGTTTATTCATAGTCAGAAACACATTGGCAAAATGTATGCTCGGTGGGTGACTTTCCTTCAGAAATTTCCTTTTGTGATTAAACATAAATCTGGGAGTTTGAATAGAGTTGCCAATGCTCTTAGCCTGAGAGCCGCGTTGCAAATCGCACTGATACAAGAAATTGTTGGATTTAAGTGCCTGAAGCAACTGTATGCAGATGATCCTGACTTTAAGGAAATTTGAAGCAAGTGTGGGAATCGTGAAGTAGTGACAGATTTATATATCAGTGATGGATATTTGTTCAAGGGAAACCAACTTTGTATTTTCGTTTTATCTCTACTTGAAAAATTGATTCAAGATCTTCATGGTGGAGATCTAAGTGGACATCTAAGGCGTGATAAGAAATAGCCAGTTTGGAAGCTAGTACTAGTGGCCACAGTTGAAGCGAAATGTTGGAGTTAGAGTCAGAAAATGTTATACTTGTTAGGTGTCAAATGGTCAAGTGTAGAATACTGATTTGTACATGCCACTTCCGATCCCTCAGGGCATATGGCAAGATCTTGCTATGGATTTCATTCAGGGATTACCTCGTACTCAACGGGGAGTAGATTCTATTTTTGTGGTGGTTGACAGGCTCTCCAAGATGGCTGACTTTATAACTTGTCGGGATCTCATATGCATTGCTGGAAGGAGTCAAATGGTTGACAAACTATTTTTCAGGGAAGTTGTTCGACTGCATGGAGTTCCCAAGTCTATCACATCATATCGAGATACAAAGTTTGTTGGACACTTTTGAATTACATTATGTAAGTTGCTTGGGACAAGTTTAAATCGAAGCAACACTGCCCATCCCCAGACTAGTGGACAAACCGAAGTCACTAACGGATCCTTAGAAATATGGCTCAAAGTGTTTGTGGAGATAAGCTCAAACAATTGGATCTTACATTACCTCAGGTCGAGTTTGCATACAACAGTGTAGTTCATAGTGCTACAGGTAAACACCCATTTGGTATTGTGTATACAGAGGTTCCTTACCATGTTGTGCATTTGGTGATGTTGCCTAAAAGTAATAGTAAAAGTGTTGCTACTGAACATCTGACTGAAGAAGTGCTAGCGGTCCGTGATGAAGTAAAGCAGAAATTGGAGAAGACTAATGCAAAGTTTAAGGCGACAACAGATTTATATCGACGGGATAAACAATTCCTGGAAGGAGATTCAGTGATGGTGTTTCTGAGAAATGAGAGATTTCCAGTTGGTACTTGCAACAATCTGAAACCAAGAAAGTATGGACCTTTCAAAGTACTCAAGCAGATTAATAATAATGCCTACATTATTGATTTACCAATTTCTATGGGTATTTGTCGAACGTTCAATGTGGCATATTTATATGAGTTCCATAAAGATGATGAACATTTATATCCGGATTAACTCGGGATCGAGTTCTTCTAAGGTAGAAGGGACTAATATAGAACATATTGTTAAAGAATTTGATCAAAATGAGACAAAAGTAAGTGTAGAGAGAACATTGAGCTTATAATAACATTTCGAAAAGAGAATGATGATACGAGTAATACTTTTTAAAATAAGTTTTCATATAAACCCTTATAAATAAATAGTTATCTCGTTGTTTTTTTTATTACTTTTCACTAATAAAATTTCGTAAGTTTATCTTTTTCATAATTTGGTGAATTACAATATTTGTGTTTTTAAGGTTTTCATTCCTTGTTTCGAGCTGCGACAGGAGTACATATGTATGAATTTTGATTGGTCCCGCTCCCTCACTGACACAATATTGGGACAAGTGAATATTTTTATATATAAGATGCCGATAAGCCATGCACGTGCAACCGTGTCCCCATGAGAAGTTGAATTTTGCAACCATCCAGTTCACGTGAACAACCGTGCCCTTGTTGAATGTCAAAACATCAAATCTTTGTTACGATTGGATCCATCGGGTACCAACTCGTTGGAAACTTCATCCCATAATCATTTTCACAAATTATATACATGCACGTCTCTTTCAAAGCACAATCAATATCTTTATATATTTATTTGTATGATTAAAATTGTTGCTTGCCAATTTGACACTTGTCTTGGAACAATTGCAATCACCAATGTTCTTTCTTTTATATGCTTTCGCTTTTATCTCCGAACATCTTGGAGGGGATTTTACTCTTTTTTTTTTTTTTTTTCAACATGTGATCATAAATGTCTCATTTAATCATTATCAACTAATTATTTACCATCTTCAACAAGAACTTCACTAATTCTTTTAGCATGTTGGCATTGAAAGGTTGACTATCTAAGATTGAAATTCAAGGTCCAATAGAACATTAAACTCAATTATGTTCAAACAGGTTGATCAATCCGTTTTAAGCTCAAACAAGCCCTTAATTTTCTAGATTGGTATTCTTAAATAAGTCACAATCTTTTGTGAGGGCATTTTGACCTTCAATTTTAAGTTAACGTTCTTAATTTTCACTAAAGGTTACTTCGTACGTTACACAAAACATTATCTTGTTTCTACAAAAATATGAATAAAACATGCACATATAATAATTGACTTGAATTTCGAGAGAGAATAAGACATGACCTAATTTTCACACACAGAACTATAAATCCTTTTTGACATGTAAGAATTTTCCTTTTCCTTATGAGAACACGATAATGTCTCGCATCGCATATGACAAGTTCACTTTTGAGAACTTAACAACAATAGGTAAGATTTCATGAGTTTTCTAATCAAGTCACCATATGTGAAACCTTTATAAACTACTTTAGTGACTATCTTAAAATTTCTTACAAACTTGTCATTGGTGATAAGTTTGAAATTACAAACGACACTGGATTACCCTAAACAATCGACGCCAATAACCTATCATACCAACGCATTATAAGAAACAAACATTTCACTGAAAGAAAAAATGGATGTAATACACGTAGAAGATAAGGCCTCGCTGCTATACAAATTAATATCTACAGGCATTTTCCCCAAGACTCGGCATATGAACAATGAAACTTTTGGCGAAGACCTGGCATATATATGAATCTTGTCTAGCTCATTTATTGTAGGTGAGAAGTGGACAACGACAACCAAGACTGTGAAAACCTAGACGTAGCTAGTACACAAGTCAATTACATGTCACGAACATGGAAGACATTGGGATTCTTGACTACAATATCATACATGTAAATGGAATTGAACTTGGAAAAGTCCCTAGGTAAAGAAATAAGATCATTGGAAGAGTGCTTGTGGAATTGGAACAGGTCTGGATCACCCCCATAATACCTTTCCCAACCTAAATCCCTCAGAATCTGCTCTAGACAATTGTACGATGACACCACTTGGTCTGTTGGCAAGTGCACTAACATCTTCTTTTTCGAATGCCTTCCATCACCCTGCTGCTCGGCCGCTGGATTCAGCCTTATCACACCATTATTCCCGAATACCCAAACACCTGACATGATTTTAAATATATATATATGTATATGCTTTTGCTCCTCAACTAAGTAATGTTGGTATAGGACGAGAAGATAAATTAAGAGCAAATGGGAATGATGGTGGAGGGAGTGAAGAGTGGGAAGGGTATATATACTTGTTATTGGGGGGGAAAAGAACAAGAGAGAAACTGTACTGTTGAAATGGGATAACGAAAAGTTGGGAAATGATAGGCTTGTTTAACTTTGTGCAGAATCTAGATATTGTGGGATCCATTTGGGTGTGATTTAGGGTACACGAACCATGGGGGGGGATACGTTAGGAGAATCTACTGTTTGATGTGGGGCTTTTCTTCTTTTTAATAACTCACTGTCGTCTTCACAGTAGATTCTTCGGCAGCCACGAGCCCACGACATGAGGAACATATTATCTATTTGGTTGAGACTTGAGAGATCGGCTTAAACTTAATGAAATTTCATTAGCTGCAACTTACAAGATTAAAATCAATAACCTCATTCTTGAAAATGTTAATACACAACCTGTCTATAACATAATACATATGTTTGTAAAAATTTGTAGGCGTACGTACGTCAAGTTTTGTGTATATACCATGAGATGGACGATCCCAGACCACAGGATCCTGATAAGAAGAAATCTAAAATTGATTTGAACCTAAAATGGTGTTTCCACAGGACCACTCAACCTTACAGCTAGTAGTTCTGAGGTCTTTTCTTTTCTTCCACTGTACTTTTTTGTTCTTGACTTATTAAAAAAATGCTCACATGTCATCACATGGATACTGAATGGCCTAATGGTCCTAACCTCAATCCACAGCAGGCACTAGTGCACCCAACTTTAGGATCTGTCTTTTCCAATCCACATCATTTGATATTTTTGTCAAAATCTGCACCTCACCACCTTGTACTTCATTATCTTGTTTCAACCGCATTAATTTCCAACATTAAGCTTCGATCACATTTCACCACAGGTCTAAACCACCTAGTCACAAAACATTTAGAGGGTGTTTGGTAGAGATTAAAATTAGATTTGTAGTAGATTGTAATAGAAATTTTTGAAATGTGTGGTTGAAAAGTTGTGTATGAAAGATGTGTTTAATATTGATTGTTTGACTTTGACTTGGATTAAAATCAGATTTTAATCTGAACCAAACAGGGCCTTAGTTATATACGGATTCGATCCTATATGAACTTAATAGTAGTGAGTGGATTTTTATGATAGATTAATATGAATATTGAATAGTATTCATTAATTTTCATCCAAAAAATAGTCATATGTACTATCAACCATATAACACGATACATATGTTGGAGGTGAGTTAGGCCGAATAAAAAAAGATGTAGTAAATTGATATTAGATGGCATCAATAATTGTCTACGATGGCCAACAAGGTGAAGACTACTCAATTGGCACTCTACGTAGGGCGCTCCATGCTAGATCGTCTATCACTACAAGGCCTCTACTTGCATGCTAGGTTGTTTATTATTACGAGGCCCTCTACGTTCACGCTGGGATATCGACCACTATGAGGTCCTCTACATTCATACTAGGGGATCTACCATTATGAGGTCGTCTACCACTACAAGGCCCTCTACTTGCATGTTAGGCCGTCTACTGTTACAAGACCCTCTACGTTCACACTAACTTGTTGACCACTATGAGGCCCTCTACATTCATACTAGGTCGTCTACTATTATGAAGATGTCTACCACTACAAGGCCATCTATTTGCATGCTAGGCGGCCATCTACTGCTAGAGACCCTTTATGTTCACACGAGCTGTCAACCACTCTAAGACCTTCTACATTCATACTAGGACATCTACCATTATGAGGTCATCTACCACTACAAGGCCCTCTACATTCATTCTAAGCTAACCACTACAAGGCACTCTACTTGCATGCTAGGTCGACTACCAATATGAGGCCATCTACGTCCACGTTGGTCTGTCGACCACTATGAGGCCCTATACATTTATACTAGTCTGTCTACCATTATAAGTTCGTCTAACACTACAAGACCCTCTACTTGCATGTCAAGTTGTTTACCACTACAATGCCCTCCACTTGCATGCTCGGCCATTTACCACTACAACATAAATGCAACACTTAACCATAAAAACATCATCGAGTTTGATAGGAGTTGTTTAACGGTTATCATGGACACAACCAACCACTGGATAGGTAGAGGTCCTCCACTCAGAACATGGAACTAGTGGAAGGTGCTACGTGGGACACGTGGCATAATAACCGCCCAACAGTTATATGGTTTCAGACACATATAAATACTCCTAAGGCGAGATGTATGAGTCTTGAAATTTTGGATATTTGAATACACATTCTATCTTTTCTTCCTAAGTCTACGTTCCTAAATCCCTTACTAATTCTCACATCGGAGGTACAATAGGGGAGAAAACCCTAACCTCATTTCCCAGGTAACATTTGTTAATTAGAGTAGCAGAAATACCTTGCGCCGCCAGGAGGGGCACAGAGTTTTGTTTCATAACCATTTCATAAATGAAGTTCTTTAAATGAAAGATCAAAGAATATATATGTTGACCTCCGATGATTTGTTGAATAGGGTGGTGGTAGCAATGAATTGTCACATCACTGAGGATTGCACAAAAGATCTCTAGCTAAGCCCTTTGGAACCTCGTCCCGTCATGAGGGTCTGGTTCTCCATATGGGGTCGACTCCGACAAATGGGATCGATTATTCATATAGGTTTGGCATCCTCACGAGGGTTCTGCCAAACTACCTCTTGAGCAAAGTAACGTGGAGTGTAGGCCTATGTTCGCCTACTACGTAGGATTTCTGGAGCTTCATCAGACGAAGCGTATCAATAGTCCACCAAGTCTATGTATGATTATTCATATAATTCGTGGACTTTTAAGTTGAAATGTAGTCATGGTTGAGTTGTTCTTTATCCTATTTGGGGCGTATTACGTTTTGCGAAGAAATAGCATTGCACATTTGTCCCCGAAATCCAAGTACAGATATTCATATAATGCGTAGACTTTTAAAGAAATATCTTAACGAGTTTTAATGGATTTGAAGTTTGTGATATTGCTAAAATTCGTTAAGGCAAGGCCCTTGTTAAGAATGAGCCTGATGGTAGAGATGAATTCTATGATAAGGCTGAAATTCGTTAAGGCGAGGCCTTTGCTAAGAGAACAAGTGTGTTGACGGAGTTGAAGCATGTGATCATGTTGAAATTCGTTAAAGCGAGGATCTTGCTAAAAGGGTGGGCATGTTGATGAAGTTGAAGTATGTGATTAAGTTGAAATTTATTAAGGCAATGCCCTTGCTAAGAGGACGAGCTTGTTGACGGAATTGAAGCATGTGATAAAGCTGAAATTCGTCAAGCAAGACCCTTGCTCAGAGGGCGACCCTATTCATGGAGTTGAAGCTTGTAATAAAGCTAAAATTCGTTAAGGCGAAGCCCTGTTAAGAGGACAAGTCTGTTAACGGAGTTAAAGCACGTGATAAGGTTAAAATTCATTAAGGCGGGACCCTTACTAAGAGGGTGAGCCTGTTGATGGAGTTAAAGCCTATATAGGCTCTTTTTGGTAGACGCGAGGCATAGCTGTGAAGAAACATTGATGGGACGCGTGCTATAATGATTTGAAAACTTCTCATCTTTCCAAGATATGGCAGCGAAATAGTTCTCATTAAATGCATTTTTACATACTTATTTTACTATCATCATATGAACAATTTTTGATTAATATGTTGGAATATAGCTTAATTCTATATAATTCATGTTTTACAGGACAAGTGATGAATGTAGCGAAAATAAGGAGAAACAAGTGAAAATTGACCAAAATGGAGGAAAATAAAAGTTCATGGACTAAAGTACAAATACTCTAACTTGTTTCTAACCTTGTGATGAAGATTTGAGAGTGTTAGAGGTCAATTGGATGAAGGGAAGATTCAAATGGATGAAATATAACCAAAATATTATCACATGTCAACTTTCAAGCTGAAAAGGTTGCACCAGTTTTTAGTCTCATATTGAGACCAGTTTTTGACATGGAAAACGATCAAATTCAAAGATCATATTTGAAGTAAAGTTTTATCCCTTTGAGTTATCTTTCCAGCGTATTTTGAATCAGCTCAATTGGATACTTGTGGAGAAATTTATGACTTAAATACCGAATACGATTCAGAGGCAAACATGCGCGTGCGCGCAGGCAAATTCTCTTGCGCGCGCACGGCATGAATTTCACTTATCGAGCCTAAAACCAATGAACGGCGTGCGTGCAAGGAAATATATGGCGTATGCACACATGCATTTTTCACAGATGAATCTTTAGTTTCTTTCTACGACTCAAACTCCTTTGGTAACATATCTTGNTTTTCATTGTCAAACAATGCTGAAATTTATGTTTTCATTCTTATAAATTTATATTGAAATTGATTTAATTCTTATTAGATTTTTCATGGATCCAGCCTTGCTTTTTCCATTGTTTAATTGAAATATTTTTTGAATTTCAATTTCATGAATATATGTTGAGTTTGATTTAATTTTTATTAAATTAATCATAGATTCAGTCATGTTTTTTCTATCGACGAACTGAATTAATTGTTGAATTGAAATCTCAACTATTTTGTTGATGTGATTCATTTACTACTTTATGCTTGAAGTATATGGCCGATTTATGAATCTAATTTCAATAAAATTGTATAAACATATCATAAATCTAGATTTTAAGATTACATTTGTAAAATAAATTGATTTTCACGATAAATCTTCCTATTAGAGTGTCGGGATGAAAGCCTATAATTGAGTTATAAAACTGAATAATTCATGTGAATGGTCCAATCCAACCGAGGAAATTCCGATGCTTCACCATTTTAAAAAAAAAAAAAAAGTGAAGTAAAAAGCAATATTGAATTTAACTATACTCTTGAGAGAAAAATACATCATTTTTGGATTCTTTAAACATTTTTTCATCTCCCTGTGGATACGACACCCCAAAACTGCACTACAACTACTGCGTTATTCTTTGGGCGTAATCATGTGTACGTCTCAGATTGGGTAATGCTTATCTAATGGCTGACGTTCATCTTAATTTCCTATAAAAGGATGCCTTGGCCATTTGTTATACCTTTTACTTTTATGAAAAAACCTTCAAGCAATCAAAATTCTTGGTATTTCTCCAACAACCTTGAAATACTTTCTAGCGATCGGTCAGACTTCCATTTTCTTTGATCTGTTTGATATTTGTTAAGTCACATACCATTTTTCGTCAGGTTTTTTGACTTAAAAACTCATTAGATGGCCTCTTACTCGAAACCAAACACCAAAGGGGGTTCTCTTGGGAAAGCTAACATAGCAATGATATGCGCCGAGAATGGTTGCCTCCAATATTTCCTACAAAGAGGATTATGGAGGCAATGGGGGTTCCCATATTGCCTCGATGATGCAGGAAGGTCTAATAGATTATGATATAAGGTGGGGGACTTCTTTGTGGCCGACCTGCATAGAAAAGAACGAACTAGAAACCTTTAGGGAGCGTTATAGGATCCCTAATACAGTAGAGATGTTCATTTCGACCCCCGATGAACGAGCATGTTTCCCTAGGAAAGGGTGTGTGGCTATGAGTAAGGTGATTCTTAGTGTTAGGATGAGGTTGCCTTTACACCCATTCTTTAGATATATACTTAGGTAGTATAACCTATCTCATACCCAACCTCTTCCAAGCACATAGAGTCAATTGTCATGGGTCTTTCTTCTCTACAAAGAGGTCACTCTTAGCGAGAATATGTCTCTCCACGTATTTCAAAGCCTCTTCCTGCCTCGAGCCTCTAGTGGGAGAGGGGGATGATTTTAAAGGATGGTATTGTATGGACTCTTAGGGCTTGATTTCTCCTCTTTACGAGAGGTTGGCCAAATTGCCTCTTGAGCAAAGTGACATGGAGTACGAGCCCAGGTTTGCCTACCACTTAGAATTTATGGAATCTCATCCAACGAGGCAAAACAATATCCATACTTATTTACCATAATACCCTATACTTAGTAATGTTTAGTTCTCATAACTTTATTCCTTATACGATCTAATTGGTGCTCCAAATGCAACCTTATAATGGTACCATCTATTTTGAAGATGAACGATGTATGTGAACGTGATTGATCAAGTACTAACAGCCAGGGGCGGATCCAGTGGTGGGCTAGTCCAAGCCCAGATGTATTAAAATTAGAGGTTAAATGATTGTAGCCCACTGTTCAAGCCCAATAGAAAGTAGCCCAATTGAAAACCCAATTAATTTTCCCAAACCCTTTGGCTTTCAATTTTCATGGTTTCATTTCACACCATCCCTATTTTTTCTTCAATCCGGTTTGAGCAGCAGCAGCCCCTAGGTTTTACCCATATTGTTTCAGTTCACCGTCTGGCGAAGTAGCGAACGGCCGAAGTCACAGCATTCGGTTTCGGTCCTTCATTCATTATCCTTCACAGCTCCGCGCCTCCGCCCCTGATTCACTGTTCAGTTCTTCTTCTTCAGGCTTCAGCAAACGGGCCAATAGCTTCAGACTTCTTCAGAGTTCAGACTTCAGTGCTCCACCCTTTTCACAGCCTTCACTCATTCACTGTTCTTCAGACTCCACCTTCTTCAACAATCAGCAGTTTCTCCACTCTCCAGCCCTTCCCTTCAGGTAATCGAAAATTTATACTACACTTTTATTTTATGATTTTCATTTATGATTTATGAATGATTTTCTTGGGCTATTTTTGAAATTGTTTTGGACTCTAATTGCTTGTACAATTTGTTTATTTTTGTAAACTTATACAGTAGTAAGTATACTCAATNATGTTTTGTCTTGGTGAAGTATTACATATGATATAATGATAAAAATTTATAGGATATTGAAGGATTTTGCTATTTATGCTTTTAGGTTTAATATGGAAGAAGATCGACCTTCTTCTAAGAAAGGAAGAACGTTGTTATCTTTTTTTTCAAAGAGCAACAAATATCGGGGTACTCCAATTCCTACGGCATCCACTCCAAATCCAATTTTATCTCCTGAAGTTGAACGGCCTTCATCTTCTAATTTTAATTTGGAACAATTTGATTTTATTAAACGAGACCCAGGAACAATTTGATTTTATTACTTGTAAATTCCTCAAATTGACTTTTGTTTTTTTGCTTTAAATTTGTTGTAGTAGTTGTGATATACACTAGCATTTAAAAAAAAAATGTTCTTGCCGTCAATGTCCTAAAAGGTGGTATAAAGTTAAAAATTTTGAATTGACCCATCATGCCACAAAGTATTGAGAGAGTCAGTTTGGACCTAAATTCCAATGGGTGCATAAAGAAGAACATGGAGAAGCAATAAAGCTGATTCTCGGATAAAAATAAAGGCAAACGTGCACACATCTCTATCTATGTATCGACTTCAATTTGGATTTCTCTATCCTTACGTGGAATGTGATAAAGATCAACAAAGTCGAAAAGATGGAACATTCCACCAGTCATGAGATTCTTAGAGTTCGATAAAAATGTGCCAATAACTAAACGTAAGGGCAAGATAGTATATTGTAATGGGGCTGTTCTGATCAACCCTCGCTCAGACTTTTCAAGCTACGTTCACTTTTATTCGCAAAACCCCTCCTTGATCATGGTATATGCAGCAGCCTGTATAGAAACTGTAAAGTAGTAATTCGTAAACACAACATACAAAAATACTGATGGAGATTGATCTTCATACGGCAATTGATTACAAAACGACATAAGCAGATGATTTCTAATATGTAAATCAGCATTTTTCTGACAGCCTAGCTACTAGCTAATACATTGATATGCATTCATTCTTCATTCCAAACAAAGTAACTAAGATTCCACTTGGTATAAATATTTTTTAATAACTGCAGAAGCAACAAAATCTCTATTTGGTAGGAAGAATTTGTTGGTTCTGTACAATCTGGTTCCAAAATGATAGATAGACCATCTAAACAAAAAGAAAAGCTTAAGACGGTGCACCAAGATAAGATGCAAGACGCAATATGTCACTGAATACTCCACCAGCAGTAACTTCAGCCCCAGCACCAGGACCTCGCACAATAAGAGGTTGCCTTTCATACCTTTGTGTTGTGAATGCAATTATATTATCTGATCCAGAAAGTTGTGCAAATGGGTGCTCCTTTTTGTATCTTCGCAGTTCTACAGTTCCTTTTTGATTGACAACATCCACTACGCCAACGTATCTCAACACCTTCACATATTTTATGCTTATCAGATAATGAAACTTATTTAACAGCAATGAAATAAAGCTTTATATCCTATTCAAAAGTTCCAGTTCGGTATTGAGGACTAGAGATACTCACTTCCCCAGCAGCTTCAGCTTCCTGCCTTCTCCCTTCCATGTTTTGATCGTATCGAGGCAGCTGCAGCATAAACTCCTCAGCTGAACAACTAGCCTGAAATAAACCATCAGAAAACAACATCACAGATGAAGTGGTGCTTCCATTAAGTAAACAACAAAATTCTTGCCTTTAATGGTTCTGGCACAAGGCTCTGGACAGGAATATCTGATAGTTCTAGCTTTAATCCAGATTCTCTAGCAAGAATTATGACCTGCACAACTTAAATCACTAAATGAGAAAAAATATTTAACTGCAAGCGCATTGATAGTATAGTATGGTGGCAGACAGTGCAGTTGCTGGCACTTGATTAGTTCAAATCACGGCAAGCCATACGGCAAGCACTTGATCAGTTCATTTTGTTAGGAGGATGAATTTTTACAAGCCATGTGAAGAACTAGATAAAATTTGGTGTTCTATAGGATAGCTGGATGTCTGTAGAATCCAAAACCAGAAGTCACTTCCTGAGATTTGGTAATTGCAAAGGCATGTGGCTATTAAAATGTCTCATGTTTCTGGAGGAATCTCAAAACATACATCTAGCTCACAGTCATACGGCTCAGGACATATATTCACATTGTTCAATGGCTTTCCATAGTACTGGATACTACAGAACCAGACATGAGGTAAATGACAAAGCAAAATAAAAATTAACTGGTATACCTTTCTTGCGACATCCGTTCCAGATAAATCATCTCTAGGATCTGGTTCAGAGTAACCTGCTTCTTTAGCTTCCTTCACTGCCTCACTAAATGTCCGAGTGCCCACGAAGTTATTAAATATATAACTTAGGGTTCCACTGCATGAGCATATTATCACATGAAGTGAGTGAAATGAAACTTCATGGCATGCAGAAGCATTTTAATTCTTGCTAGTGCACATAGCAGTGTGACCAACATTGAAAGGCCTCCAAAAAGTTTGTATAGTAGTAATTTGAAATCGATTAATGTATCAGGCATCACTCACCTGAAAATGCCCTCAACTCGCAATATTTTGTCCCCAGTTTCGAGCAGACCTTGCAAAGTGCTAATGATTGGTAAACCGGCTCCAACTGTTGCTTCATAGAAGTAATGTGTATAGGATTGTCGTTGAAGAGCCCTCAACTTCAAATACTGGATTCAGTCCCAGAAAGGGAATAAAACCAAAATGGAATCACACTTATTTAAAAGAAAAGAAGAAAAATGAACGCTCTCGAAAAAAAAGGGCTACACTGCTAAATATCGAAAGAAAGAAACAGAGTGCAGTTCACTCGCATTACAAAACACAGAGAGAGTAAGAGAGATAGAGAGAGAGAGAGATGCAATGCAACCAGAACAGGACAGGACAGGCAGATGATCTAACATATAAACTAAGCTTACCAAAAATCAGCTATTTTTACTACTACAAGAAGCCAAATTATGTGAATAGATAGTTACCTGCTCAAGTGGTCCTGAATTGGCTTTCTTATTTGGGGTGATTATGTGTAAGCCTCGACGCAACCAATCATGGTAATAGCTGGCAACATACGAGTCTGCTGTACAATCTACCAAGACAGTATTTGGGATGGAATGATTCCCATGCACACATTTAACAAATTTATGCATGTCAGCTTTTTCTCCTTTTTCCCTCAGAAGATCTCTCCATATTGATAAATCAATACCCCTAAAATCATCAACGCCAACGTTTTAGGGCAAAACGCATCAGAGATTTGATGCATATCATATACAAGCTATAGAACAAAATGCAAAAACGTAAGAAACACTGTTTGGCATTTATGTAGAGAGACAGAAGTAGCTCAAAGGATGGGAAACCAAGAGAGAATGAAATCTACAATATAACAGATGTTGAAGGGGGCAGGGACATAAAGTTCAGATTCGAATTGAACTTCAGTTTATTATACCCTCTGAGAGAGAAATGTGCCTGATGGATGCATTAGAAGATGCAGTCTAGGGGAACTTATTGGATAAGGGACTCAAGCCTTAATTTGACTGTCCTTATTTGAAAGTCGTACTTAAACATATAATACTCCAAGTAATGCTATCAGTTTCCCCAATAGACAACATAAATTTCTGTCTGCAAGCTGTTATCAAAACAAATTTGTTAAGGTCAACCTTAAGCTGAAAAGATATATCTCTTCCAACAAATAAATCCTCTATATATCACACGACAGTGGGTTATCTAATTCTTTTATAAGGACTTGAAATAGATGGAAGCTATTTACTTTCATCAGGGGACATGTTTAATGTAGATATTGGTAATAAAATGTAGAAAATCAAATAAAACAATCTTCCCTGAAATCTTGAAACTTACGCATCACTCAAGAGCATTGTCCTTGATCCAGTTATACCCATCACACGCATATCAATGTTAAAATTTTCCTTGAGGACTGCTGCCTGCGTAGGATTGAAAATTAGGTGATAAAAGAACACAAATTAGGTCTCTGAAAATTCCAGTAGAGATGATACTGGCAAAACAATTCCTGTCATATACCTATCGTGTTTTCATGTGAATCAGATAACTGAATTTTACCTGTCCTTTTATCATAGCTACGACTCCCTAACTTTAAAAAGCTAGACATGTCAAATGGAATGGATTTTGTATATGGATGGTTCAATGTCACAACAGGATAGAAAATATTTTGGTGCCAAATCAGGTAAATGGTGTAGTAGGTGTGTCAAATTGGACTTCACATAGTTATCTACAATGTCCCAACAGGATAGAAAATATTTTAGTGCCATAATCAGGTAAATGGTGTACTAGGTGTGTCAAATTGGACTTCACATGGTTATCTATATCCCATCCACATTTCAAACTGGACAAATATTTGCAGTCTCAAGTTTGCACTTTATCCAATAACACGAATTCCTAAGATATTAACAAGGAATGATATAATGAAAAGCAATTCTTAAGAGAATCAAATTGCAAATACATTTGGAAGAAGTAACGACGGACCCCAAAAGGGGGAAAAGTCGAAAGCGTTGGTGGAAAGCTATGAAGCATGAACACTCTTCAATCTGTGCTAGACATGTCAAATGGAATGGACTTGGATATGTGTAAACCACACGGTCAAGGACAGACTTTTCATTAATTTCTAATTTGCAACAGCTGAGGAAATGGTAAGAGCACACCAAAGGACAATTTTGAGATCAAAATGTAATTTTAAAACCAGAAAATATAGGTGTGGGCACAGTACTTAACTGGTCAAATTTTGACTTTTAGAACCTTATGGTTTGGTATGAAACTGAACTGAATTGACGGTCCTTTTCAGTATTTGAGTTTTGATAAGTAGGCTAGAGTAATTTATCGTAATTTTATTTACCTACCAAGAAAAAACTAAATTTACTTAAAAAGCTAAAAAGTAAAAAAAATAGAAGAAAGAAAACATGAACAAACTGGCCAATTCTCTATTAAGTAAAACCAATGTATGTTTTTTTATTACTCAGCCCCAAGAAAAATGAATTGATTTTACCAACCAATGTATGTTTTTTTCCTTACTCAGCCGCAAGAAAAATGACTTGATTTTACCACGACAAATTTTAGGTTCAAAGGAGTACAAAATGGAAACAAGAGGTTTGAATGAGGAAAAAATCAAAAAGTAAGAAACTGATTGTCCATAATTTAGAACCCTCAATGGCATGTGGCATATTTCGGCTACTTCTAATGTGCCTTATTAAATGTCATCAACTATTTTTTTCTTCAATAATCCTATTATTCTATTAAAGAATCCCTAGCCTAACTTATTTTTGAAATCAATATAATTATTCAAATTTAATTTATACAAAAAAACTTTGATGATAAAAATTTGAAACTGGGGCTCTCATATTGTGCCAGCCCTGCAAATGCCAAACTAGCATAAACAGACGGGATGACACATTCATGCAAATCTACTTTTTATTCAGCATGACTATAGCTTGCGGTAAGCTACTTTGTGGAAAATGCCATACCCATGTGTCCCGATCATGTGGCATTTATGTCCAGAGGCGGAGCTACATAGAGTCCAGTGCAGGCCAACTGGACTTTGGGCATGACACAGGAAGCTCCTGTGTGCCTGCACTGGACCAAGAGGAGGAGGAGGAGAAAAGGGAAGAAAGAAGGGAGAAAAAGTGTGCCTGTTGGACCAAGAAGAGGAAGAAGAGGGAAGAAAGAAGAAGAGAAAGTGTGCCTGCAAGAAACGCCCTGTACCAAGAAGAGAAGAAGAAAAAGTGTCCCTGCAGGAAATAGACCAATAAGAGAAGAAGAAGAATGAGAAGAAGGAAGAAAAAAAAGTGTGAGCTGGAAAAGTGTGCTGCAAAAAAAAAAAGTGAAATTATTAGAAAGAGAGTGATGACTTTCCTATTATTAAGGTATTAAATTGATAAGTGATAAGTCGATACTGATAAATTAGTGATAATTTTTATGATAATAATTCATCACTCCTAACAAAAAAA